AGTGGAGAGTGGCATGCGATCTTCAACCATCTTTTCACATGGTATAAAGGTAGAAATCAAAATCCTAAAACAACAGTCAGCAAACTATCTCTTGCAGTCAAATCTAGCCTGCTTCCTAATTTTATATAGTTTTACTGAAACATAATCACACCCATTCATTTACATGCTATCTATGGCTGTTTTTGTGCAACAAACAATATTTGCTACAAAGACCATGTGGTCTGCAAAACCTAAAATATTTATTACTGGACTCTTTAAAAACAAATTTGCTGGCCCCTGTACTAGACGTAGACTAAATTAGAACTGACAACATGGTAGCTGAAAAGGTCAGGCTTTCTTAAAGCACAGAACCACTCTTTACAAGCAATAACTCAAGTCAGAAAGACACATAAAGATGAGCAGGTCAATGTGGTAGAAGCAGGGCTTTGAGATGTCCAAGCCAGATTGGTAGAAGAGATGTCTTTAAGGTTAATATGGGGTTTTATAAAGCACAAAGACCTTCAGCCAAGGGTGTCAGGAACCTGGACAAGGCCAGAGGATAGTGTACTGGCACAGTGAAAATATAGTTCAGCTCAGGAATACTGGAGGGCATCATGTATACAGAAACCAGATTCTAAGAGGTGCAGCAGGCAGCTCTAAGCTCTGCTAACAAACATTATGGCTGGAAACCTGAGTATAAGTTGACTCCTGAACAATATGGGGACTAGAGGTCCTAACTGTTACCTGTGCAGTCAAAAATCCACATACAACTTTGACTCCCCAAAAACTTAACTACTAGCAGCCTACTATTGACTAGAAACCTTAACAATACCAGTAAACTAATATATATTTGGTATGTTGTTTATATTATATACCGTAATCTTATAATAAAGTAAGCTAGAAAAAATGTTACTAATAAGGAAAATATTTGTAGCACTGTACTATGGTTATTGAAAAAAATCCACGTATAAGTGGACCCATGTAGTTGACATTTATGTCATTCAAGGGCCAAATGCATTTACTTAGCATCTATTTCAGCAATTGACAAAGGTAGGGTTGTGCATTAACAAACGAAACTCTCAAAACCTACCTTACCCAAACTAAGCTGTTCTTTTCTAGATCAGAAGTCACACTGGGTTACACACCTGGTAAGTTTTGTTTGGCTCACACAGCTTCTTAGGAAACTTCAAAAACTTCAAAAAACTTAAAAAAATCTAGATATCTAGCAAGTAGGCCCACTGCATTTCCATATGGAAATATCAGTTAGAGCTGAGAAGCAAATGTACCTTGTAGATAAGGCAAGTATTCTTAGTTTTCCACAGTCCTCACCACTTCTTACTAGATAACATTCAGCTTGCCTTATTTTTATTATTTTTGAATGTACCAAGACCATGTGGCATTCAAGTTTGTAGCCCCAGGTTCCCATCTTACCATAAAGATCACAAACCTGCACTTTACACAGGTCTTTTCAATATACATTTATTGAGCACTGATCATCCCAGATACTATGCACACAAACATAAATACTGCATTATCTCTGTCATAGAGGAGCTCACAGGCTAAAAGCAGAGACCAATGATCCTATGTAGAATGATGATGGCACAAAGGAATGCTCAATTCTCACTGACCATTCAGGAAGCACTGCCAAGGGAGATATTTAAACTAAATCTGAAAGGGCAAGCAGAGCTTTATTACTGTATTCCAGGCAGAGGAAACAGAATGCACATGGCGACAGGGAGTGCAACTCTTTTAGCAATTACACATAATTCAGAATAGATGAAAGAGAGGGAAGCTGTAAGAGAGTTAGAAAGATAGTGGTGGGGTTATATATCAAGAATGGCTCATATCTACACTAAAAAGTGACTTTTATTTCATATGCAAAAGAGAATTCCTGAAGAGACTGAAGGATAATTGAGTTTACATTTTAAAGGTTTTTTTTTTTTTTTAATTTACTTATTCTTGAGAGAGAGAGAGCGCGCGAGAGAGAGCGAGCGCATGAGCAGGGGAGGGGCAGAGAGAGAGACGGAGGGAGAGAATCCCAAGCAGGCTCTGCACTGTCAGCATGGAGCCCAACACAGGGTTCCAACTCACAAACCATGAGATCATGACCTGGGGCAAAATCAAGAGTCGGACATTTAATTAACTGAGCCACTCAGGCACCTCCAGATTTACATTTTAGAAATACAATTTGGTAGCAACATGGAGCATAGTTTAGAAGATGCAAGACTGAACGCAGACAGACCAGTTCGTAAGGAAATCATTGACAAAACCCAAGATGGCTTGGGGCCTGAAGGCAAGAAGCAGCAGCAAGAATGAAGAGGAACTGGCTAGAGACAGTGACCCACTGAATGTGGAGGAGGAGGGAAAAAAAAAGTCAAAGATTCCCAAGTTTGTAGCTTGAATGGTAAGGAATGTAGGAGATGACACAGGGGAGGATGGGAATGGGTGGTATGAACTCAGAGGTATTTGTGGCCACACTGGTGGCTATGTCCGCTTGGCATCTGGGTAAGAGTAATCAGATACAAGGTTAAGGCAGGTGGGAAGTTGGGAACTGTCAGCATTTGTGAGCGATCAGAAGACACTGTGATGCATACTATCACAAAGAAGTGTGCAAAGTGAGATCAAGAGCAGGGACATATGCCAAACATTTAAATGGAAAAGAGGGAACAATGCTCAGGCCGGCTACAGAAGAGCAGATATAGACGTTGCCAGCAGCATGGAGAGGAAGAGAATTAGAGTGTGAGGAACTGAGGTGTTAGTAAATGTTTGCTACCAATTACATACTATAGACTCTAGGCTGGAGAGTGAAGAAAGTATAGAAAGGATGGATTACTATAGGGCTTCAAGATTTACTGAGAAAATTAAAAAGGGGCATCTAGTTAAGCTTGAATTTCAGATAAATAAAGAATATTTTTGGGGTGCCTGGGTGGCTCAGTGGGTTAAACATCTGACTTCAGCTCATTTCATGATCACACAGTTCATGGGTTTGAGTCCCGTGTTGGGCTCTGTGCTGACAGCTTGGAGCCTGGAGCCTGCTTCAGATTTTGTGTCTCCCTCTCTCTTCGACCCTCCCCTGCTCGTACTCTGTATCTCTCTCTCTCAAAAATAAATAAACATTAAGAAAAAAAATTAGGGGCACCAGGATGGCTCAGTGGGTTAAACATCTGACTTCAGCTCAGGTCATGATCTCATGGTTCATGAGCTTAAGCCCTGTGTTGGGCTCTGTGTGGAAAGCTCAGGGCCTGGAGCTTGCTTCAGATTCTGTGTCTCCCTCTCTCTCTGCCCCTCCCCTTGCACTCTCTCAAAAATAAATAAACATTAAAAAAATTTTTTTTTAATTAAAAAAAGATTATATTTTTAGTATAAATACATTCCAAATTCTGTAGGGGGATACTTATATTAAAAATTTATTCATTGTTTACCTGAAATCCAAATTTAACTGGGTGTCCTATATTTTATTTGGCAATCATAATTAGGTAAAAAAGAAAGATCTAGAGTCTGGGAGTACTCCTGAGGTCAAAGGGAAGGGTATGGTATAGAGGAATGAGGAACCTGAATATTAAAACACTGTAGTTTAGGATTTCAGAGATGGAAGAGTGATGAAAAGGATCAGGAAAGGGCTATTTTGTGACTGAAACAGAATGGAAATGCAAGTCCTAGAAGAAACACTGAGGCAAGAATATTGGATGGCTCATTAGTGTGGACACTGAGGTCAGTTAAAATGTTGGCTGAAGGGTACAGGGCATGAACATAAGCAAAATATCAAAATCTTCATTAAGTGTGGCAAAATGACCAGGAAGTCAGTGAAGGATGATACAGCCATACCACAAAAATCTGATAGGAGGGAGGGATTTTGACATGACTTTGAAAGACTACTAACAACCTGAAATTCTGTGAGAGGGACAGAGAGAATCTTAAGCAGGCTCAAGACCAGTGTGGAGTCTTGATGCGAGATCATGACCTGAGTTGAAATTAAGAGTCAGACACTTAACTGACTGAGCCACTCAGGCGCCCTGAGAAGAAACAACTTTCAAATGTACAGGCTGTGTCCTCAAGGTTTCAAACAAGATGGAGAAGCAGGGTATATGGGGTATGTTTTCAACAGAGGTTGTTATAGAGGAGAGAATGAAAAGGTGTGGGAAAGATTATCAGTGAGTTGATAACAACAACGAAAAGCAGAAGAAATGGGGCTAAAAAGAACAGGAACAAACAAGGAATCTAGTCTTGATGGGGAAGAAAAGGTAGGCTTTCTAAACAAGTGAGAATTGGCTTAAGTTGAGATCCAAAGGAAGTGATTTCTCACCAGCATCTCATGTTCATCAGGTCCAAGGTCAGGAAGTAGTCCAAACTTGTCCCTTTTCCAATGTTTCCTAGCTCAGTGAATGGTACCACCGTCCATCAAGTCATGCAGGTTAGAAATAATGGAGGTATTCATGATATCTGCCTCCATTATGCTCATTAACCAAACCATCACAGAAGCATCAGGTAAGGAGAGAAGCTTTCCACACAGTGGAAACATATGTGATATTCTTAGGTTGAAAGATAGCATGGTGCATTCTAGAAACTAAAGAGCTTTTACCTTGATACAGAAGAAAGTACTAGATCATGATGTGTCTTGTAGGTCACATTAAGGATTTGCTCTTTATCCTAAAAGCAATGGAAGCCACTGGCAGGTGTGAAGCAAGGAAAGAGACATTACCAAATTTAGGTTTTGAAAAGAGCATTCTGGGTAGAATGGAGAACAGATTTGAGAAAACAAGAATATAGGGAAATCACAACAAAGGTCAGTGTAGTTATCCTGGTGCGAGGGGGCAGTACTTTGAATAGGGTACCAACAATGAGCATGGAGAAAAGTGGATGGTTTCAGTAAGGCAGCAGAGATTAAGCCAACAGGAATTGGTGACAGTGATGGGAATTCTCTCCTAATAAGGAATGATCTAGTTGAAAGAGAATGGTTGATTACACAGGAAAGAAAACAGTTAATTGAACGCTGATAACAGTAATAGTGCAAACTGAATTACCTGGAAGGATCTTCCTCCAATTGCAAAGTGTAAGGAGTCCATGAGATCAGGGGACCATGTGTGCCCAGATCAGGGGGCAGACAGAGCTGTGCTGATTAGATATCACTATTTGCAGGAAGTGAAGGATGTGGACATAAGCTTGGACATGTTGAATGCACACATGCAAGGTTTCTTCTGGTGTGGTAAGTGAAGAAGCTGGGAATGGGAAGAGAATGGGATGCATCTGAGAATGCTAGAAATATGAGAGTTCTAAATTTAAACCTGGCCTTCCAGATCATTATTTCAGTAGATACATCATGTATTAGAATAGAATACATTTTTTTTTTTTAAGATTTTATTTTTTAGATAATCTCTACACCCAATGTGGGGCTCGAACTTAAAACCCTGAGATCAAGAGTTGCATGCTGCACTGACTGAGTCAGCCAGGTGCCCCAGAATATTTTTTTTATAATAGTTTGCTATCTTGATTTATAACTTAAATGTTTAGACACATGGTACGTGAGCCTCTGAGCCACATTTGCCCAGGCTCTGCAAATTTAAGGTTAGGACTGATAAGAGTGCATAATAGTATAAAAGACTATATATAGTGCAAGCAGAAAAAAATTCCTGAAGGTGAGAGTACATCGTAGGTGAGAGTACATCGTAGCTGGGCCCTTACAAAGTTAGACATCCTAGACTTCTATGTGGGAGATGAGAAAATAAATGGCACAAGTTTCCAATTACCATATTACCATACACAAGAGACACATTTATGCGCTTGGAAGGTCAACAATTAAGAAGCTACTCTAGGGCGCCTGGGTGGCTCAGTCAGTTAAGCATCTGACTTCAGGTCATGATCTCACAGTTTGTGAGTTCGAGCCCCGCGTCAGGTTCTGTGCTGACAGCTCAGAGCCTGGAGCCTGCTTCGGATTCTGTGTCTTCTCCTGTCTCTGCCCCTCCCATGCTCATGCTCTGTCTCTCAATAATAAGTAAATATTAAAAAAAATGTTTTTCAAATAAAAAAAAAGAAGCTACTCTAATTGTAATGGTTTCAGTGTGACTTTGTAAAGCTTCTTGCATATGGCAGAAGTTTAGAGCATGGAAGAGACCTTAGTGATCATGTAATTGAATTTATTCTGCTAAAACAGAGGCTCTGACAGATGAAGCATTGTGACGGAGGTCACAAAGCTGGTTAGTAGCTGATGATTTTCAGCCCCATCCTCTTAGTCTGCTTTCCCACCAATGTTCCTTTTCGTGAATACATATGCTGACAATCAATTGCAACCACTAAGTTTTCACTTTCTTTCACTGATATGTATTAAAGGAAATAAATACTTTGATTATTTTAAAAATCTGACGCACCTAAAAAAAGGACCACTATTAAATTTTGACTCCAAAGTATTCTAAACAAACAAAAAAGGGAAAACAAAAAATTCCAATTTCATACGGTCACAAGAAATGATAATCCTGGAAAGTTACTTTTAACTGTTTTCCATAAAGTTACAGGTAACTTGGGGCTCCTTTTAAGACTTAAGAATATTCTCCGACTGCTCATTTCCTGATTTGACTTTTATTTTTGCGTCTGTTCCTTTGATTTGTTAATCTCCTGTGAGACCTCAGAGTTAAATTAAAATCTTACTCCTCGCCTCGGTTGCAACTGTACTACTGTACCTCATCTCCCCCAATTCCTTATCTTCTAAGCTAGAAATCAAAACACACGCTTATAAAACATCGAACACTCAGGATGCTAACCACTATTTTACAGTTAAAAAATTTTTTTTTGCCTTTCAAACATCAATAAATATCGCTAACGGATTTTTCTTAGCAAGTTTCATTTGTTAACAACTGCAATAAAATCAAGATCTTTACGAGTGTATCATAAAAGTTTAAAAGAAAAATTCTCCAGGGCGTCTTACCTTCAAGCTCGGAAGAAATCCGAAAGTTCTAGGTTTGCAGGAAGTTATCTCCCTCAAAGCATTAGAGCTGACGATCTTAGCAACAGTAACAAATCTTGTCAGGACACCAAGTGATTTTTGGTCCCTCCCATCCAACTGCCTAACAGAAGGAAGGACTTAATTCCGCACACAATTTTCTCCTCTGAGCTAAGCATCTGCGAAACTCGGATTTCTGAGAGCGAAGAGAAAGGGAGGGACCAAAGGGACCCCAAGGCAAAAAGGAAGAGAAAGTGATACAAAAAAAGTCGTCGAAACAGAGTCGAGTGCGACCTGGCGGGGGCAGATTTGGGGGTCCATTCCGAACACTCACGGGGCACCAGAGTTCACGCTGGCGACAAGTGGAAGACCCTCCCCTCACTGCAAGCTCCGCCACTAAGCCGCGCCCAGAGGAGCTGTGACCTCCAAAACGGGTCCGCTTGGCGATCCTGCCTCTTCGGCTCCAGATTCGCGCCTTTGGTTGGCTCCCAGAGGGATCCCTCAGCATGGTTCGTCCAATGGAGGGCTTCGCCGGTGGCCCGTCCGCTCCGCCCCTCCCCCGCCCCTCGCCCGCCCCTCGCTGAGGGCCCGCCCCTGCCCCGCGCCCGGGAGCCGAGGAGAGTAAATACAACAGGAGCGCAAAATGGCGGAACCGCCGAGCCCCGTGCACGGCGCTACCGCTGCCGTCTCGGAGAAAGAACCGTTTGGCAAATTGCAGCCCCCGTTCCGGGACCCACCAGGTCCTCTGTCGGCCAAGAAGGTCCGGACTGAGGAGAAGAAGGCGCCGAGGAGACTGAACGGAGAAGGGAGCAGCGGCGGGAACAGCAGGCAGCTGCAGCCGCTGGCGGCACCTTCGCCTCAGAGCTATGGCAGCCCTGCGTCTTGGAGCTTTCCCGGTCTGTCTGCTGCCTCCTCCCCGTCCTCTGCTCGGAGCAGTTTCTCTTTTTCCGCTGGCACCGCGGTCCCTTCGTCAGCCTCTGCTTCCTCATCTCAGCCGGTGCCGCGCAAACTGCTGGTCCCTCCTACGCTGCTGCACGCTCAGCCTCACCATCTCTTGCTCCCGGCCGCCACCTCCTCGGCCAACGCCAAGCCGCGCCGACCCAAGGAGAAGCGAGAGAAGGAAAGGAGGAGGCACGGCCTCGGCGGGGCAGGCGAGGCCAGCGGGGCCGCCCGGGAGGAGAACGGGGAGGTGAAGCCGCTGCCGCGAGGTGGGTGCTGGCGCTGGGAGGGGGAGGGGAGGGCGCCCCGGGTCCCCGCGTCCCCGCGTCCCCGCCACCTCCTCGCGCCCGCGGGGCCCGGGCAGGGGGAGTGTGGCGGTCGCGGGCGCCAGCCTGGAGGGGGCGGGAGGCGTCCCGCTCTCAGCGGACGATTTTGCAGTCCCTTTGGGGACAGGAAATGGAGCCTGTAATTTCAGTTGCAGCGAGGGGAATGCCCGAAACTCTCATTTTTAAATATTGTTTCTATCTCCCAGTTAATGCGCTGAAAGATTTGTAGAATTCGGTCTACAGTACCCGCTTAGGTGTGCTGGACTGCGGAGGGAGATGGGAGGTGATGGGATCGCGAAGGGTTTGGTCTTGTAAAAGATTCTTGATTATTTAGACCGTTTAGACGTGATCGCGGAATTCGTATTTGTGACCACAGGCTCCAGCGCCAGAAAATCCTGTCAAAAAAGGGGTGTGGAGAGCATTGGCGTCAGCTGGAAGCTACTAGAGGCCCGAGCTTTTCATCCCTATTAGGGAAATGAGGTAGTGTGCAGGGCCCGAAGTGTGCTGTTTCATAAGGTACCTTCCGCACCGCTCCGTATTCTCAAGTGCTTTCTGGGGTCCTCTTTGGAATACCACCACCCTTCGGAGAGAATTTTCAGCCATATTCTTTTTTCCTGCAGCAAATGATAAAATCAGGAGCGTTGACGTTTTTTGGTCAGATCAAGTGACTGCAAAATGTTTTAACATCAGAAAATGGCAAATTCACGAGCGTCCGTTTCAGACAGGGCTAGGCAGTTTTCTTTTAAAATGTAGGCTAGCCATATAATTTTCCGAAAGTGTTTATTTAAAATAGATGGTCCTACTTATTTCGTTATTGATATATAGTGATCTGACGGTGGCACAACATGGAGACTGGTTGAAAAGTAGATTTTTATGTGATCAAAAGACTAAAGCATATAATGATGTTTATTATAAATATACATTGAAAATGTACTGTGAAAGTATCATTGTTTCTTAGGAAAAACGACATGTCCAGCAGTGTTAGCATTGCTGATCGAGTTGTAGCTTAAATCATGAATAATGCTGTTTGAGTGGCAGTTTTCACAGTTTTTAAAAATGCTGCACAGGAGTATGTAGTAACGGTTACTTCTTCCCTGCTGTTTTGCTTATAGCAAAGCTTTGACATCTAAGCATAGCCATCAGGAACTCGCACTGAGTAAAGTTCTCTCAGTTTTGGACTGTGTTGCTTCTAGGAAAGTGGTTTTGAGGATGGAATTTATACTATTAGCTCTGGAATTTTAATATGATTAGTATTTTAAAGCTATTTTGTTTTAGTGGTTACCTTGAAAAGTTATAAGTGCCTGAAAGTCTGTTCATTTGCAGTTTGGTATTAGTTTTATCTGTGGTGTGTAAACAGTGTATTTGTTCTTCTGAATTCTTTGAATGAGGAAGTGAATGTGGGGTATAACATTTGTCAGTGTATTGGCATGGCTGAAAATAAAGAAGTAAACATTCTTTCACAAGTCTAACTTAAAATAATGGAGCATAAAAATGGCCCTTAAAATGAAATGGCTGTTGAAGAGAAATTTCTGTAGTCTTTTACGTTTAGGCTCCTCCTTTTGAAGGTCACAGCTTATATTATGCTTTAATATGAGGAATGATAGCTGCTACATTAAAATGTGGGGAACATGTTTTTCCATGATTTATGTAGGGTTTTTACGTATGACTAGATGTAAACACTATTGTATGATTTTCATTTTTTTTGAGAGAGAAATGCTGCCATTTTACTGAGAAAAAACTAAAAATCAAAGAGAAGAATTTTTTTCAGTGTCTTGATAAATTTAATGGTGGAAATCTTTCCCTTTTAATTTAAGAAGTACTCTTATCCTTCTAAAGTTCAGATTTAACTAAATCAAATTTATTTTAATTAAGAAAACTCTTAAGCAACTGTTATTAAAATAGCAAGATTACATACATCAATTCAATATAAATATAATTGCAAATATGAAAATCCTAATTTGTAATCCAATTCTCATTTCTGTGGGCTTTATATTAGAATCTTAGTGAGTGGATGGCGGGGGGGGGGGGGGGGGGGGGACGCCTGGTTGCCTCAGTCGGTGGAGCATGTGATGCATGATCTCAGGACCTTGAGTTCAAGCCCCAGGTTGGGCTTAGAGTTTACTTTAGAAAAATCTTAGTGAGTGGTTAGGTCTGTTGTGTTGTATGTGTGTGTGTGTGTGTATATGTATATATATGTGTGTATATATATATGTGTGTGTGTATATATATATATATATATATATATATAACTCTTTCTAGTGTTGCTCTAAGTTGGATAGTTCATGGATAGCACATAGGATAGTTCAGTGACCCCAATTATCCCATAGCTTCATGATTGAACAATCTGAATCAGAACAGGAAGTGAGCTATAAAGACATCTAAGCAAAGAAAATAGAATGAATCTTCCCTGCAAAAGCAAACAACAACAAAAATCCAAAAAATCTAGCCCACTACCCCATTTACCAGTTAAGTTCTTGTACTGTAGTAGGTTTGGTTTTTGGGTTTTTTTTTTTTTTTTAAGTCTTTAGTGAGAACTAATTTTTTTTATTGGCTACCATTCTAACAGGAATTACATGGATTAAATGAAACTGTTTATGTAAAGCCTTGGCAGGCCATTTAGTCAATGTTATTTGAGTCAGAAACATGATGATTTTTTAACCCCATAGCAAATTAAAAAGTGGATTAGTCCAGATACAGTAAGGATCATTGACAGTGGATTTGAAAGTTAAGAGTGATAAACAACAGAATAACAAAAATGTGGCAGTTCAAGCCCATTTAGCATAAAGGTTGATGCCTTATGCACCTAAAACCTGTGAGGCCATCTGGTCATAGTGCGGTAGCTGATTTCCATGATAGCCTGAGTCATCATGTGAAAGTTAAATTTATTTCTTACAAAAAGGAGATGTGCAAAACATTTTAAATTTTTAAAACTAGAAAATAACCAGATTCGGTTATAGAGGTAATCTGCTGAAGAATTCACATTCCATCTTCCTGTAGGAGTGAATAAATTTTTGAATTGGTACAATTTTTGAATTGGTAAATGTGGAAGGTAAAAAATGGACATGTGCTGGAAGTATCTGACATTTAGAATTATATTCTAGCAAAGAGCAAAACAAACATATTATTAGATAACAAAGTGCTTTAATGATTCAAGTAAGCAGTAAAACTTGTATAGATCTTCTAATTTTTGTTAGTGTTTTTGCTTTGCATTTATTAACTTTTTTTTCTTAGAATGATTCTGTGAAGTATCTAAAGATAAAACCAGAGCATTTCACAGAATGTTTGCCTTGAAAGTATAGTTACAGAATTTAACTCTAATGAAAATAGAGACTCTTAAAGAATTGAATAATAGTTATTTTTGTTTTATCTTAATTCCAGTTAACATACAGTGTTCTATTCATTTAAGGTACACGATGTAGTGATTCAACAACTTCATACATCACTCAGTGTTCATCACAAGTGCCCTCCTTAAGCTTTTAGCCCCTCTCCCCTCCCCTTTGATAACCGTCAGTTTGTTCTTTATAGTCAAGAGTCTGTTAGAAATGAATAATTTAAGGTATGTAAATGTCAGTGATAGATGTTGGAAGACTTTTCAAACTATACTTTCCCCTATCTTTCTAATATTAATTCCACGATTTTACCCTAAATTCAGTTTTAGAGTTTTCATCATTATGGCCAAATATTTGTCACTGCTGGCATAGTTTACTGTAATTTCATTTTCTTGTATAACCTTTTCTCATGCCTTGTTTTTTCATTTGTTTAGTTTTGTCTAGCAAAATCTTTCTATACCCTCCAGCAGCTCCATAAAATGCTTCTCAGTACAATTTTCCACATGGTCAGATCTGTCAGATAAACTTACCAGTTCTATTTGTTCTTGTAGTCATCTCTTCTGTAGCTGTCTTTCTTCCTGCTTTAGTCTGGATTGTTTTCTCTTTAGGCCTGCTGCGAAGCTGTCATCTTGGGACTTCCCTTAGCTGACATTCTGAGAATTTCTTTCACTTTTGTTGAGTCCCTTTTTTCTGGATCCTATGTGTTCCTTTTGGTTTATTCCTTCATTTTGGTTTCCTCTACTATTACTGTGGAAGTGTATGTTGGAAATAATTTTTTCGGGGGGGGGGATTTTATTTTTACCCTCACAGTTGACTGGCTGTTGAGAGGTTTGTATATTGGAAATCATTTTCCCTCAAAAGTTTGGAGGTGT